GAACATGGGAGAGGCCTTTGTCCTGCAGTGGACGTAGTCAGGCTGATGATGATGATGTTTGTAAGCTTCCAGATTTAGGCTTCATAGGCAAGTACGAGCAAGATGCAGCTGTTATATACCTTCCTCTTCAGGGTTAGTGGCAGATTCTCATTCCTGATTTGAGAATGCTTGCCGAATGGTATCTACTCGATCCTCATTCTAGTTATTTCACTCTCATAGTTCGGCTCCGCGATTGCTATCTCACAAAGACATGCTTCGCTTAATGAAGGAACGAGTCCATGCAGATTCTTCTTTTTGTGTTTTGACAGTGTCACGTCAAACATGCGCGTGGTATAAGTAACTTTGTTTCAGAACTACTATAGCTGCACCTGCCATTGCCTTGCAACAGTCTTCCCATCCACAGGAATCTATACTCAATGTGAAAAAGAAGTGCTGCCAAATATACACTACTACAGGCTCATTCGTTACCTAGTTATATATCATAATCTATGCAAAGTTTGACACGTAGAGTGAAGTACAGTATGAGCACCCGATCACATGCACTGTCCAAGAAATTTGAAGCCTGCACATTTCCTGCGAACCGAGTAATTCAAAGGCAAGAAACCACAATCAGTGCACATAATTTTGTACAGCTTGAACATACCATACACTATCACCTCTTTTAGTATCAGGCTTCTATTTGTTCACCTGGTATATTGGCGGTGCATGGGGGTGTCACTATCGCAACCCCTGAGGTTCTTACGTCTTGATGTGTGTAGCTTAAAAATCATTGGTCTCTTCTTTGTCCAGTTTTCTGAGAAGAAGAAAAAAAACAGAGTAATTAAGAGGTTAAGACAGAAATAGTTCGATGAAAATAAGTTTACTAAATGAAGTGTCTTCAACCATACCTTGCTAGGATTTTGGCCCATAAGCTTGTTTTCAGTGATTACACATTCTACGCTGACATGAACTAGGTTGAGCGATGAAGCATCCAAGCGTACATTGAAATGAGCAGTTCCTTGAAGGTTGCGGTGTGGTTTAAGAGAAAAAACAGTCCCGGCTACTCTGGTAGAAGCGTAAACAGATTTGTGATGCTTGACTAAGAAGAATGTATAGGGGAACACTGCATATAAGAATCGTAGTGTAATAATAACACTGCTCTTTTAGTGAAATTTCATTTTGGATGGCATTTTAATAATTTTGTTTTAATTACATTCTTCAGAGGAGAAAAGCTAGGTCATTGCACAACTGGATGGACTATATTGTTCATTCAATTGTAATATGCTTCACCGTAAACATACGAAAAATGTATAAACGCGTATATGTACTAAAGCTTCACTTGGCTCTACCATGCGCTGAATTCATGAGCATATATTGCAGCAGAATCATTTTGAGAGGAACCAGGCAAAACTTATGCTGTGATGATGTATTCTCTGTTACAAACTTTAGCAGTAAAGATATTTTCAGTGATTGGGACAACGAATCAAAGAAATCTCAAACATTCACTAGGTGTGCATCTCATTAGCAGTACAAGTCGAAAAGCCTCATGAAATGACAAAAACTGCGGCTCATGCAAAAGAAAAGGGTCATGTTCAGATACAAAGCAATGCATATTCTTTCACTGGTGAGCACGCCCACAATCTGCATGATTATTCCGTTTTCGTAGGCATTCTCTGAGCAATTTGCCTGCGTTGAATCTTCATGCTGGAGGCTTGGCAGCCGGACGTCGGTGAAGCACAGCAGCTGACATGATTCACAGCGTTCAGACGCGTTCGCTTCGTCGGGGCGGCACGTAAAGCCTGACACACAAGCTCACATTTCTATATAAGAGCTTAATTAAAACAGAGCTCTATGATGCTGACCGATAAAAAGTACCGCGGATATCCACGATACAATTTGAACAAACTAATCGACAGCAACGCAATCGATGCCAATGGGCTGCTGCCTTTTGAGCATCAGGATAATCTCAATACTTCAAGTCAAACAGTCACCACTCTTGTATTATAGTAAAAATGATTAAAAAACAGTTTAGTCGGTGTTCATGAAAAACTACGTGGTAACTACTCTTTTATTGGTGTTTTGATACATTTTGAAATAAATATCTGATCCGCGGTGAGTGCCCCTAACAGACAAAATTCCCACTAACTTATCCAAGTGCTAAAAGAGGAGAGAGTAGGATACTACAGGCGCACATGATGAAACTTGACACTGTCAATTTTTTAGCCCCCAACGGCAATCGTTGGAGCTTGAGAGTTTCTGCGGCCTGGCCCAACTCTCAAGAACACCCGGAAATGTTGGCTCGAGACGCCGCTGTGGAACGCCAACGCCGAGCCTAGAGCGCTAGCGCCCCTTTCTCCCGTCTGCTTGCTCCTCACTCTCCTAGCTGGGCGCCTCTCGAGGCGATGGCAGATGTCGGTGAAGGCGAATGACTGACAGCAACGGTGCCCTTTCTCGACAAAAGAAATGCATTCGCATTTCTTCACGATTCGCTTCGAGAAGATGGGTGCATTTTTCACCAAAGAAAATGGTAGTGATTGTACCAGTCAGGCATCTTTTGTTTTGACAGCCAAGCTACAGGCGCTTATGTCTTACTGTTGATGTATTCTGTTAGTTTTTTCTAAGGCGAGACGGTGCTCTAGTGGCTGAAGTACTTGGCTGCTGACCCGCAGGTCGCGGGATCAAATCACGGCTGCGGCGGCAGCATTTTCGATGGAGGCGAAATTGCTGTAGGCCTTAGAGCTCAAATGTTGGGGCACGTTAAAGAACCCCAGGTGGTCAAAAATTTCGGAGCTCTCCCCCACGACATGTGTCGTAATCATATGGTGGTTTTGGAACGTTAAACCCCATATATCGACTAATCGCTGAGGTCGTAGATATATTAATTTCGCGACTGCACGTTCTCAGTAGCGTTTATGTATACTCTAGCAATGCCCTTTCTTGTGCTTGTTGGTAAGTGAAACTCGACAACATATCGAGCGCTAACAGACATGAACGTTAGAGAGACGATTAACGCGTTTTGTTGCCGTCTCTCTCACGTCCCTGTCTGTTAGCGCTCAATATGTCATTGAGTATATATTCTGTGAACACATATGGTGTGTCTTTTTGTGTCTGTTACTGTTTTTCACGCTACAACATGAGTATCATCATGCACACCCTTTCGAAGTCTCTCCCGACTATGCGTGGCCTTTGATCCGAGACTGCTGCTGTCGTCCGACCATCGAGAAGGGAGAGGGGGGGGGGGGAGCTGGCATGGTCGGGGTGCTTATTGAACTCTTTTTTATACCTTTGCGTGCGCTCTGACAAAGGCAACGTCTCCTGTATTTTATCAATGCCAGCCAGATGCGCCCGATTCAGTTGTTCACCACCCTCTCCTCTAGCTCTTTCCTGCTCTCTCCCATCGCTTAGCATTCGTGTGCGCTTTGCGGTCATGGAGGAGAGAAGCCCGTGATGCAGTGCCTCAGTGACAAAATTTTAAGAAGTAATTTTTGTTCAGTTGTGTACAGATCAGTGAGTCAGCGACTTGCATTCCTCTTGATCACAGTATTGGCTGTGACGCTGTCTGTGAAATATACGGTGTTTTGAGATAGCATCTCACTGCTGGTGGCGCTATGCGGGCAACGAATGGGGAAGCATCATTGCAATGTTTCTGCGTACGCTGCGCTGTGACGCAGAGGTGGCAATTGTCTCGAGCCAGGGAGAAGCAGCATGAAGGAGCGAACCTGACAGACGTGTGGTATTGCTGTGGGAAACGCGTCTATCGCCTTTCGGGGGAAACCGCCCGGACACACGTGTGACGCCAGAAGCGCTATCCTTCATATAGTGCTGCATCACGACCACTCGATGAATTAAGGCGGACCAACGGCTACCGTTGACAAGCGCGCATTTGACTGGCATTGAAATAAAGAAAGCGTGGGTCAAAGGCCATTGTGGCTGCCAGAATTCCATGCCATCGTTTGAAATTGGTGACGCGCGCAGAATAGAGTGCTTGTTGGTGCCAGCCTGCCAAGCATTAGGAGTAAAATAGGTGGTTGTCACGCTATTCCCGCTTACCTGGAGGGTAGCCAAGCTGGAATAGTCGTGACTGCACTTACTAAGACGCAGCAGGCTGCCTTTCAGCAACAGTTGGAACGGTATGTATCTGCGGATGCTCCTTTTGCGGATAAAACGTGAGTTGACGAATTCCACTTTTAGATGTAGTTACATTGAGCGCCCAGAAGATCAGATAATTTTAGAGGAAATAACACAGGTGCAAAGTGCCACGTATGCGAATTACTTTTCATCTTTATTTTTGCCTTGTGAAGTTTCCTAAAACAAGGAATTCTGTTTAAACATCTTATACTGATGAGAAATTTTTTTTTCTGTGGACAGTCAGCATTGGTGGAACAGAGGATAGGATTCTCGGCTGCTAAGCCGACAGTCGTGGGTTAGATCTCGGCAGTGGCGGGCAAATTCTGATGAGGGCAAAATGGTAGAGAACCGTGTATTATGCAATGTCAGTGCACAATAAAGAACACCAGATGGTGACAATTTCTGGAGCTATTCAATACGTATTCAATACGGCGTCTCTCATAATCGTATTGGGGTTTGGGCACGTTACGCCTCACATATTATTATTATTATTATTATTATTATTATTATTATTATTATTATTATTATTATTATTATTATTATTATTATTATTATTATTATTATTATTATTATTATTATCTAGGCAGTATTCCCACAAAAGCGAATTTCAGGTACTTCGTCACTACTATTAGCGCTCATTTGAGTGCTTTCACTTCTTCGCAGCCAGAGAGCTGTTTGATGTTGCCAGCGATACTGCCTTCAAACACGAGATCCCTTGAGAGACCGTACTGATAACACTTAACTGCCCTAGCTAAACTGCTCTTTAGTACTTTATCTACAACAGGAAGAAAACAGCTTAATTGGTGGAGGAGATAGATGAAGGTGACAAGACGGTACTTCCTCTATTCTCTGCCAAATAAGATAAGGACTATGGCGTTCAAATGTTCACGGGCTTTTGTGCTTTCTTCTTGCGATGCCTGTCGGGCGCAGTTCTCGTAGAACCCACTCGCGCTCTGTCATCCACCGTGTCATCTAGAGGGTCAGCCACAGAAGCACAACGTATTGCGCTGCATGACCGAAAAAAGGTGGGTGGTTGAGTGCTCTATAAAAAAACGGTCAATCATTTAGTAATAGAGTCATGAGAAAGCAAATCTACATGAAGCTGATCGCAACACGGTGTCGTTTTACGGAACTAGACGAAAGTTGATGTTAATGCATTAAGGCCATAAAATATACACGTACGCCGTATTCTGACAATACGCCACCAAAGGTAAATATTGCCAACTTACCAAAATTCGAGTCAACTAATTTCGGCTAGTTTTTGGCACGTCCTACATATGCACGACGGCTAAACAAAAATTGAAATTTCGCTCGTCAAAACAACGAGTTCAAGGCGAGATACGGCGATGTGGAAAATTTTGGTGGCAGTGCTGTGAGTGCTACTCGTTCATTGCACTACAGTTTCCTGCGACACGATCCTCGCAAAACAAAGCGTTGTTGCGATGATTGCTGCAAGAGAAAGGAGAACACAGCGCGTGGAACTGGCGCACCAACGTGAAATTCAGTGCATTCGCCGCCAGTGCCAGAGCCGAGCGGACGCGATCTGGTGTGACGCTGGCTTCAATAGGGGACCGCTGTGTGCACCTTTGTTCGAACGAAAACTCCTCATGACTGTTTCGCAGAGTTTTTTAAAATGAGTTATATAGCTTGCCTCAAAACACTCACCTCGCTTGCCAGAAATAATGGCATCATTGTGTGTGTGACGTTGACTTTTGCCTGGCGGTAGTGACAGAACTGATGCGCCACTGCAGCGTCTGCTTGACTGCTATGAATTGTGTGGATTTGGCTGGCGCTCCCTTGATTGAGCGGGTGATTTCATTTTCCGTGTAAGTGGGTGTGGGATAGGTGGCAAGTGCTATTGCGCTGTGAGCCACACACGATTCGCTATATAATCATCATAACAGCGTAAGCATTTTAGCCGATCGTCGCAGATGGCGTGTATAAGTACTGCCATCTGGCTGGTATTATGCGCAATCAGGCAGATTCCAGGCAGCGTCGAACAAATTGTTGCGCCACAAGTATAAGGGCACTCTGTTGCATTTCGGTTTTGATGTTGCCATTTTTTTTGGAAATCAAAAAATTATTTTCGAACTAGTTGAGCATTTCAGCTTTCGGGAGCGTGACAAGAGTGCCTCAGGAACATATAAGCACCATCAGCCTGACATTGTAAAAAATCACCGGAGTTGGCCTTTGATACGTTTTTTGGCCAGCACTCTGCATTAACGCGTAGTGGTGACAGTTAACGGACTTCTAGTGTGAGTTGCGTCCTTTTCAGAGACGACCCACTAGAAAACACTCAAGAGTGCAACCCAAATTTTAGTCCCAAGGCCATGCTAAAATTATCCCGGCTGCGATAAGGGAGCCGCCCGGTGACCTTATAGCTTGTCACTATGAGTGGGCCCCTAGTAGGCCTTCAAGTGAGTTAACTTTGCACCCTGGTGGCGCATGCACGAAGATTGTTATATGGGTTCAATCAAGTAGTTGGCTGGAGATGGGCGCTTGATGACACCGTATGAGCCCTTGTAATTCGGCGGCAGTTTTGGAGAGAAGCCAGGTAGAGAGATAAAAACAGAAAGCCATATGAACACACCAAGGAGGATTGTAGGCTCAGAAGTGGCGAAGCCGTCCCTAATAATCTTCTGCCGCTCTTTTAAATTGGTCGCAAAAGCCTTAGAAAGCTCACGACACTCTTTAGCAAGCCTGGCAGTGTCACATAATTGGGCACACTCATGCGGAACTGGCGTGTACAAAAGCGCCGTGTCGATGGTGTGTGACTGGCACCTTCTGTACAAAAAGAAAAAGAGAGAAAAGCCAGTAGGGTAGTGTTTTATGCGTAACTAACGAAGTGCAGTATCACATCCCAATTCGTGTGGTTGGTGGTGACGTGCATGTCGTGGAGTGTGCGGTTAAAACTTTCGGTGAGTTCATTTGTCTGTGAGTGACAGCAGTGGTTTTGCGGTGAACATAATGGTATGCCATGAGAATGGCTTCGACGACTTCTGACAGGAAGACACGGCATCGATCGCTTAGAAGCTCCTAGGGTGGACCGGGACGCAGTGGAAATCGGTGCAGCAGAAGTGAGGCAACATAGCACGCAGTAGCCGCAGGGAGGGCAGTGGTTTCGACGTATTGCATTAGATTGTCGACTGCGATGATGGCCAGTAGTTACCAGGGGAAGTCAGAAAAATTGGTTCACACAAATTGGAACCCATGCGCCCAAACATGCTGTCAGGGTAAGTTAACGGTTGTAGACCGGCTGGTGACATGTGTGTTACTGGTATACAGGAGTGGATGAAATTCTGCAGGTAGCGGTACATCCTTCACCAGAAATAGCAATAATGAATACGGTGGTAAGTATTACTTACCCCAAAGTGCGCGTTGCCGATTAGAGTCGAAAGACTGACATTTTAGCCTGCAGACTGCGAGGTTTCACGAGCAGTTAATGCCGGCCGTTGGCGTTTTAATGGCACCGGTGCAGGAGGCTGTCATCCATTGCTAAATCGTGAGCTTGGCAACGCAAGACGAAAGTGCATGATTCTGTGGATGAATCAGATAGCAAGTCGACCATCAAGGCCATTCAATTATCCTTGCACTGTTCAGTAGCACTGTTCGATTTATGACACAAACAGCAATAAAAATTAGGAGTTGGGGCATTGACGTTAAGAAAGTGCGAGAAGGCGTCGGTGTCAGCATGTTTGCGTCCATATAGTGGTACAGTACGCGGATGTCGTATACTCTTGCTAGTGAAGAAGCCAGGGGGTGATAAGGCTTGAGGGATCCCTTGATGACGACAGCCAACGTAATGCACGATGGCTGCTGACGGCATCAAATGGGTGACCGTACAAATGAGGCCGGAGCTTTTTAAAGATTCATACGGTCGCTGAGCACTCTTTTTCATGATAGTGTAGATTGTCCCAGCTCTCCTGGGCGTAGAGCTTGCGTATGACACGACTTATTCAGGAAATGCTCGTTCACGCTGCTCCAGGGCAGCACCGAGGCACTGCACTCGGCGAAGCACCACCGTGTTCAACGCTGTGTAGCACTTGCGTAGCAGCCATGCTGGCGTCGGTAGCCAGAGTTCTTGAGGATTTACTGATGAACCGTGTGCTAGTGTGGCCGTAAAACCGGGGTGCCCCACACCACCGGCTAATTTCGGTGGCATTTTGCCCGGAAAGGCTGTTAACTGGCTCAACGTTGAAGAATTGGTGTGTAGATGGTCTTTGAGATATATTTTCCAGGTTGTGATGAACTTGCTGTCAATCGGTAGAGACTTCGTAGGTACCGGCCGAATGCTACACTTCTATCACCATACCAGATTCCGAGTGCATCCCGTGCATGCGTTACGCTAGCACTGACAGCTTAGGACAGCGTACAACAGCATAGGAGAACCCGGGTTGCTAAGGTGGTGCATGCTTGTAGAGACTGTTGGCTCGTACCTGCGCTCAGAGGTGAGACGTTGTTGATAGTTCACAAAGTTTACCGCTCACTTTGAGAGGTAATAGTAACTATATTTTTCATAATCACATTGAAAATAATAAATATTTTAAAAATAATTGTTGGTGTTTTACGTCCCAAAACTATCACAGACTATCACAGACTATCACAAAACTATCACGTCCCAAAACTATCAAGTTCCATGGTGGAGGGCCCTGGGTTTTTCCATCACCTAGGGTTCTTTAACTATGCACATTTGCGCCTTTATTGCAAATAAAGCCGCTATTTCCAGCCTTCGATTCTGCAATTTCTACAAAAAGCTGAAGTGTTTTATTATTAGGCTGGGAGATAAGAAAACTTTTTCAACATCCAGTGCTTGAGGATATTTCAGCTATAAAATTAATGTTCACTTCCTTATAAAGCCAACCATGAGCAAAAATAATAATGATAACTAGCAGGCAATGACACCACGGCAAGTATAAGTAATGTTTTGAAGTTGTACTGTAAGTGCGAATAAAAAAAGGTGAACGAAAAGATAGCTTGCTGCCAGCAAGGTTCGAGCCCGTCACCTTCGAATGAGCTGCGATGATATACCACTATAGTATTGCAGGGGTTATCACTCCGTCTACATTATCTAGTATATATGCACATTTAAACGCATAAGCGTCAGCCAGTGCCGCCTGTAGCTAATACGGTGAGGATGTAATAATTCTTTTGCCTGATACTTTGTATCACATGATTTTATTTCAAGCTTACTGCTGAAAAATAATTCCTCACACACTGCCTAGAGGTATCAATTGTACCAGAATGAGACGGTCGCTCGAAGAGAAGGCCTCGATTCTTTCATTTTGTTTCTTCATATTTACACTTGAATGATTCTTTTTTGAGCAAATTTTTTCTATTTTTCACTATTGTGTGCCTCACAAAAAAGCACTTAAATTTACACTTCACCACCAGAAATGTTTCCTTACGTGTGACTCATATGAAGATGCATTGAATTACTTAAAGAGATTTTTCAAAATAGTGTTTTAACATTGGTCGTCGTTTATGCTAAAGAAACATCTAACTTGGTACCATATATACCATACTTGTCAGTATAAAGTCAGCTTTGCACAAAAACATGTTTGCCTCCTTCTCAGCTTGGACTCCTTTTTCTACTCAACTTCTCGAACTCACACCCTTAGTTGTGATGGCAGCATACTCGACTGGTTGAACTGCGCTACCTATAATATTTTCACGCACAAGCTGGTACATTTCTGGTTGTTGTTATTTCGAAGGCTACAAGGAAATATGAAGGCTCCCATCCATGACCGTGTGGTCTACTCGCCGTACCCAAGTGTGGAGATTCCTGAGTGCTCTTTCTACACTCTGGCGAAAGAGCAACTGCTGGTGAACCCTGACAAACTACTACTGGTAAGCACACAATATTTTTTTTAAGTTTCTATCAGATATTGTTCTTGATCATGGCTGTTTTTGTAGGCACAGTTCACAAGGCCTCATTGCATAAGCAACAACGAGAAACGCACATGGTGAAGAAAAAGCGTTTCAACTTAGATGAAGCTTGAAAAAACCGTAACATCGAAACTAGAGAAAACGAAACACCTTCTTAAGCGCCACAGCGTAAAGTAGCACCGTAGACGCTGTGAGCGCTTGAAACATGCATAATACGCACCTATATTGCTGCGGCCTTGATGCTTCTATTTTATACTTGCATGCGTAGCAAGTGCAAGGTAGTAAAACTGATAGCTGACAAAGTGTGTTCTGGTCATGATTGTTTTCTTGATAGTTATCAGGGTAGTCATGTTGTGAAAAGCAAACGATTGATTTTCACGGAAAAAAAGTGACCACAATATAGTTCATTGCTTGAGGGGAAGTCTATTTGTAAGAGTGCTGGAGAAGGGGGCTGGCGTTACTGCATATTGTACAGACATTACAATACCAAACTGCAGAAGAAGCTGTAACATCTTCATAAGGTAAGTGCGGCACTGAAATGACGAGAAGAACGCACACAAGTGCTGTATTTGTCCTGTCCTCGTCATTGAAAAAGCGCTTTACATTATGAACATAATGCACCCACAAGGCCACCAAGCGGAAAAGCCGTCTTCACAACATTAGGAATATTCTTGAATGGAGAGCTGTGAACACCACAGCAATGAAGCTTTGGCAGTGGCACACAACGTCAAATGCAGTGTTGGACCGACAAAGACCCCTGATTACCAATGTCGGGCCTAGTGTGGCCCAACGCTCGGACGCGGCCTGGGAATGTGCTGCTTGATGTGGCCTGAATAAGTGCTCCCTGAAGGTAAAAACATTCTAGAGGGTACTTAAATGAGGGCTCCCGCAAACACGAATGGTAGGGCGCACCCAGTGGCTCATGCTTCTTGAACATGTGGTCACCGGCCAACACGTGCCTGCCTTGGTCTCTCATTTTCCGTGAGGTACACTATACAGTCACCACGTGTTAAAACATAACAGCGCAACACTATCTCTCTCAGAATCAACGTCAGAATTTCAGTCATTCTGTTATGTGGTATCCATGTTTCTTCAGTTCCGATACTCAATCATTTTCAGAAAAGAACCATACATGAGACCGCGTAGGGGCGCCTTCTTCCAGATGGCAATGCTATCGGGCGTTTTGTTCAACACTCCTACCACCTTTACCTCACAGTCACCGGCTTAGCGGTCCCGGGATCAGCGCGACTAAATTTTGTGATGGCAGCTTGCTGGGTTAACTGAGCTTCAGACCCTGCCCTACATCCCCCGTGTTATTTATGGAGATATTATCGTACTTCCCGCAAATATGGAACTTGTAGAAACAATCCATAAGCCCCAAAATTAAATTATCGAACCAAAAGTATGTATTTTGTATTAGTTATACAAATCTTCCATATTTGCAAAACGGTACATGAAATTCCAGATGGCTGCTGTACTGCAGTTAACTCGCACTTATTCGCAAATATAGTTGTAAATTTTTTGTTTATTTTAAAATTTTCAAAAACAACTTACAGTCATCTCAAGGTACTGTGTAGGTGGGGCCGATACAAAGGTAGAAACGATACGGGGCTAATGACAAAAAGAAAGGAAAGCACACAAAAGGAAGAACAAAGAAGGTTAACATGATGATCGGCGACAAATACAGCAAGTTACATTTGAGTACGATGATGATGATATTTTATTTAAATTACAAGAAATTGTTATTGAGCAAGTTTGATACACAAACATCACTGCCACGGAGCAGACCATTGAAAAAAAAGGCGAAGGCATGTTTGTCTGGGTAACAAATTTTTTGGTTCATAAACCAGGTGTTATAAAAGAGACATTAATTGGCAGTCCTGATAGTAAACTCACGAATGGAGTGTAAGTTCGAGGTTTTCATGGGCTACAGTAAGTTTGTGATAGATAATTCTGGGAGATAAAGCTTCATGCGTTGTTCTCGATTTCTATCCACTTGTGTGGTAAGCAGTTCTGATGAGGTGGCCAGAGAGTATGCCCGCTCTGACTGGGGCTTGGTCCACTTGTTAACACACGCCAAGAGTAGTTTGTAGCTTGCGACAATGAAATCTCGATTATGTTCTTCGTATGCCTTATGTACCTAAATTCAGTATTACCAATACACGAAACACTTGTAAGGCTGGCTCAACAGTTCAAACATCGAACACCACTGCCTGAAATGTATAATACAACAATCCACACCCGTTTCCAGTGCACTTATTATAGTACAGTCAACACATGCTCGAAATCTGAATATATGCTAAATAATCAGCGACAGAAGGAGAAGGTTGGGACACAAAAATCACACCATATCCAAGGAGTGAATGATGATTGGTGAGGCGAAACGTTCGTCAGTCGGTAAGTCCAATCATTCTTGCTTCCGTCCGTCCATGCCTCTGTCCGTGCACCTGTCCGTGTGTATGCTCATCCGTGTGACCATCGGTGCGTTCATCCGTGTGACCATCGGTACGTCCGTTATTCTGTGTGTTCATTCGCTTGTCTGTCTTCCTGTGCCTCCTTCCGTGCGTCTTTTCGTGCGACCTTTCTGCCTGTCTGTCAATCTGTCCGCCCATTCACATGCATGTCTATTCGTCCGCCCGTCTATCGAGTGGACACTACATGTGCAGTCATCTCACGTCTTTTCGTCATGTATTACTCATATACAAGTGCCACCATCCAGCAGACGTTCTAACTACCACTCTTTCGTGTATGTGCCACCGGTGGTAGCGCACTACAACGAGGGACGCACAAACCACGCTATAAGGAGCTTCGCCCCTAAAACTAGTAGTATTTGTCAATTTATTTATTTCCACGTAGTTTAGTAGCAATCCTCGTTATTGCATCAAAGCTACCGAAAAACACAAGAGATACATGCTTACTTTTTCAAAACAAAAATGTATGACTACTGACAAATATAATATTACACAGAATGTATGGCATACGTAAACTATCCCTATTGCAAAACCCTGTGCCGGTGAGTACCATTGTTCGTTGTCATGCCGTATTATGGGTGAAGTATCAAGATGGATACTGGGACGCTGGAGCGGCATGTTACTGGGAGGAGCTAGGTACACAGCGCAACACGGCTTTTAAACGTTAAAAAGGGGCTACGAATTCGCCATAAATAAACATATTAGTAAAAGTGATGTAGAGCACAATAAGGCAATAAAAATTAATACAAAAAAAGTCGCAGCTTTGCTGCAAGGGCAAAGGAACGAACGCGATAGCGACCTATTGCAAGTCCACGTGCAGAATGGCAATCAGATTAAAACATGGCCCGCGTTTCTCACGCACTAATTACTCACAAAGCATACTCACAGGTACAGATGCACGCGAATAAGCGCCACAATTGTGACTTTGCTGTGTATGAAAAGCGCGCTTTTCACAAATGAAGACTGCAATGATTGCAGTGACCTTTGTACGCCCGGTAAGTTCAACTGAATTGTTTCAAGTAAAGCCCGAGGCCAGCCAAGACGTACGATCTTGCCCTCCTCCCCACTGCAAGATAAGGACGCGCGAGGGTATGCCGATTCCTTCCTTCTAAACGGGGCAAAATACGCCTGGAAGATTAGAGCGCGCGCCGCCGCGCGACGTGGCGAGGCACGCTCATTGCACCATCTTGCTTGAAATGCTGAAAAGACTGTTCGCCTCACAATGCCCGTCAGCAGCAGTAAGTCGTAGACAGCGTAGCTCCGACCTACTGGACTTGCCCTACGCCATTTCCTGACGCCGACAAGAGCTCTCGCAAGTGGTGTCTCATCTTAAGACTCCTGTGACCATGTTTCCATCTTTCCCATCTCTCCTATACCCTCGATATGTTCTCGCTCACTGGCTCAGCGCATCTCTCTTTCTATATATACCTTTAATGCTATTCTTTTAATCCTTCCTCACCCCATCCCCTGTGAGCTACTGTTGAAGTGTCGCACCCTGATGCAGACAGTTACGGGGCTCACTTTTCTCTTCTTTTCAATCTTATAACCACTTCAGTAAGTCATAGATATAAATAGCTTGACGTTGGAGTATTGTAGGACGTGCTCCTTTGTGGCGCAATGGTTAACGCCTCGCATTCACGATTGAGAGGATCAAAGTAGGATTTCATGCGGCGCAGTCTCTGCTTTTTTTCCTTCCTTGCATTTTCATATGTACATATACGTATACATATACGGTAGAGTGACGCCGACGCCAGCGGCAGAATCCAGCCAATAGTACCTAAATAATAGCTCTCGCAATAAAAAAAAAACGTCCGCCCTAAGAGTTTAACTCACACCTTCCGAATCTCATGTGAGTACTCTAACCCTTACACTACGCGAGAACACGCCTAGGTGCTCGTAAAATTACCATTCATCTACGCCATACGGCTTCATGTTCACTAGTCGCACAGTCAAGATAGACGAAATATTTATTTCAAAATAACAATAGCGTCTTTATTTGACACGAAGAAACGGTGGCCGGACACCGAATGACATGCGGTTATTGCCAAGATGGACGGATGGATGAGAAACTTTATTGAAGTTCTGAAGGGGTCCACCCCCGTATGATAGGGGTAGGATCACGTGCCGCTCCCACGTAGGGACAAGAAGGCCTAGCCTCGCCGCCACATTGTGGGCCTTCTGGACAGCCTTGAGTTGTTGTATGAGAACTGAACTCGTGAGCAATAAGTGAAAGGAATCGTCAGAAAAGTTTTGATTTTTTCCTTGTAAAGAGGAGCACCTTCAAGCATGTGGTTAAAAGCATTGCAATTGTGGCAGTCCGGACAAAGTTCTGAAATTTCGGAGTAATAGCTCAAGGTTACGAGGCTAAAGTATGTTCCCGTCTGAAGCATGAGAAGAGAGGTTGCCTGGGGCCTTGACGACTTTTCGTGTGGCAATAGAAAGGACCCATGGCCTAATTGATAATGCTTCATGATCTCGTTGAAGGTTGTC